GTTTATTTTTGCATACAGAACTGGGGTACAGGCCACAGGTGCAGCGGCAGTGAGAGGATTCACTAGCGACAAAGTGGGGAGCAGAACAGGCAGTTCAACGAAGTACACTATGAGGGGAGCAGCGGGCAGGTCAGGAAAGGTCTGTTGTGCCATGTGGGTCACCTCCCTGGGGGTCAAACTCTCACTGAAGTAGCCTCGGCTGGCTTGCAGTGCTGAGCTTTAACCCACTGTGCCACCTTGTATCACTTTTTTAATATGTTTAAAAAATAGTGGAATTGCTGTATACTATTTATGACTATTTCTGACTTCCACTGGAATATTATAAATACAAATTTCCTACTCATAAAAAGTACATAAATTATGTAGTGCAAAATATTGCAATTTTAGATAGGTGACTCATCTTCATGGCATAGCTTAATGTCCCAACTAAAAGCTCTTTTGAAATTAATTGCTCTGTCACCATCTTCTTAACCTTTAAAGTTATTCTTTCCTAAGGGATAGAATATTATAGTATAGAGGAACTCTGTATTAGAGTTGAACGCTATAAATTTTTAGGCTCTGATCCTAATGTGGTCCAGGGCGAGCAGAGTTCTGAGGTGAACTCATGTGAGTCACACTAGCTTTCTCTGTGCCATAGGTTACTACTTAATACTAAGAAAGAGGCCATTTGTTAAAGTGTAATGTCGAAGATATGTTAATTCTGCTTTCCTTGAGCGACTGCATTGTCTTTGCTTTTCTCACCCCTCCCCCTCTTTTTTCTCTAAAATGCAGTTAATTAAACTTACTTTATTGTCTGATCAGATATATCAGGATCACTTCTTCTGGCCTTAGGAAAATATTACATCTGCCCTTCCACATAAAAATGTCACTCAGCAAAATCTCATGACCCTAAAAGTCTATAACCACCACTGGGTGTTATAAAAGCCAGTCATAGCTTTCTCAGTGGTTATTCTCAACTATTTACTAAAAAGAGTTCCTTGTATATGACTAAAATCAACTCATTGCCCAAATATTTTTAGATAATCCAATGTGAAATTATGAAAATCACAAACAATACAAACTAACTCAGCTTATAAATGTAAAACTTTACCGGTTATTAAATTCAAACTGTGTCTAAATTCAAACTGTTTATAATTTACATGCCTGTTTGCAATTAGTTTTATTTGGTGTCTCTGCTTCCCACACTCAAACATCACAATCCTGATTATTTGTATGATGTGATCTGTACTCAAGAGCTTTCTCTGTTGTCTGAAGATTTCTGTTTGTGCTGTTATCATAATGGTAGCTCCCCTCCCCCCTCCTTCCCCTCGCTCTAACCCCCCCTTGCTTTCTTTCATTCTACTATTCATCATTTCTAGTCTTACAAAACCTAACACAGAACATGTGTTCTTCCAAGATGTTAAAACTCACATGTTAAGTAAAACAAGACAATATAGCCAATGTTTCTTTGAGGAGCAAACTGTGTTACAAATGTATGTCATATGCACAGAAAATAATTTCATATTGGATGAAAGATGCAGATAAAGACCAAATGTAAAACACAAGGACAGAATCATGAGTTCCTGACACAGACTGCAGAGACATCTTGGGAGACTCAACTCCAGTGGCAAAGGAAGCAAAAATAAACCAGCATAAATAAAAGAGACATAACAGACTAAATACCCTTTAGATAGTGAAAGAAACCACCACCAAAAGCAAAGGAAAAATTACTTACTGGGGAATATTTTTGATCATCACATACCCAACCCAAAGTATATAAGAAGTTATACTACTCAACATCATGAAGTTATAAAAACTTAAAAAATATAAGGTATGAGTCTCCAAACAGCATGTGCAGGAGGAAAACAGACATGTGAAAAACATCAAAGAAGACCACTCAGATCCACTTATTACTAGGGACATTCAGCAAAACCACACTGAGTTATGCTTTTCAAACCCGTTGGAGTGGCTTCTCCAAACACGTGGAAGCATTCCTTGTTGGCAAAGGTGCAGCAGGAGAGGAACTCTTCCTCAAAGAAAGGAATGTGAACCAGTCTGCCAATGAGAAAAAGGGTAGGTGGCCCTGCCCTGGCGGTGCAGAGGGTTGAAGCACAGCACTAGGTAGCCAGCCCTAGCCACTTGAGGGGTTGGATCCGGCTGGGGAGTTGATCCACACGGTGCAGCAGACCTCTCCTGTCTTGCCCGCTGCTCCCCTCAGCAGTGTGCTTCCTTCATCTGCCTGTTCTGCTCCCCGCTTTGTCTCTGGTGAAGCCTCTCACCGCACCTCTGGCCTGTCCCCTAATTCTGTATGCGTAACTAAATAAATCTTTAAAAAATAAGTAAAATGACTCTGGAAGTACAAACCTTTTTGCTGCTGTTGCCTTCATTTCCCCATAAAATATAGTTCTTTTTCATGATTCATTGTTCTTTTCTCCCTGTATTTTGTCTTTTAAAAATGTCTTCAAAGAGTTCAGAGACTTTAAAGTGAACTTGAAAATGTTCACTTTACTATAGCAAGAAACTAAAATACCGTGTGATGAGGTTATATTTTTTTCAATGTTTCCAAGGAGGAGAAATGAAGAAAAGGTGAGTAGCTGAGGTTATGTGGCCACATAGGTTCCATCAGAAGGATAACTGCTCAGATCTCTTGGGAGAAACTCTTCAGATAGATGCTTGTGATTGGAGAAAATACTGCCGCTATTCCCAGCTAGAAATAGAGCAGCGACACTCATGGGAATATTTAACTAAATTTTAATGTAAGAAGTTATTACAAATTATTAAAGATGAATGTATACAGTTTAAAAGCATTTGCAGATTAACTGACAACAGGTAATAGATAATTTTCTTAATATCTAATTTGTCTTTCCTACTGAGCGCTTCTACTATGATACTGTTTTTTTTTTCTGCCATTTATTCACAAACATTTGATCATATTAATTTTAATAGGTGGGATGTCATAAATATTTATAAATTAAAATCAATTGGGGTTTATTGATTGAGTCACTACCATCCCTACTATTTAAGTCTGAGTTACAATTTAATTTTTTTTAAAGATTTATTTATTTATGTATACAGAACTGGGGTACAGGTTAGAGGTGCAGGAGTGGTGAGAGGATTCCCCAGAGACACAGTGGGGAGCAGAACAGGCAGATTGATGAAGTACACTGCTGAGGGAAGCAACAGGCGGGTCAGGAGAGGTCTGCTGCACCATGTGGGTCCCCCAGGAGAGGATCAAACTCACAGCTAGCTTGCAGTGTTGTGCTTTAACCTGCTGTGCCACCATGGAGGGCTCCAATTTCATTTTTAAAGAAGGAAAGCAGTTCTACCACATGGGTCTAGTTTTTGATTAATTTGTTAAATTGAATATTAATTTTATTTTTCAAATTATAAAATGAATGCCTTTCTGACAAAGAAATCGTTCAGTGATTTTTTTTTAATTTAAGAGAAACAGCTATTTAGTTTTCTTATTCCATTGTTATGCAGTTACCTTTGCTTTAGAACACTTTATGGGATTCTGATGCATAGATTCTCACCTCTTCTGATGCATGTGACCCACACACCTGCACCGGACACACCCGTGGCTGGGTACCCACAGAACTCCATGGTGCCCTGGATTCCAAGGGCCTCCTCTACATTTTGCCCTCTGTACACCATCTCTATTCTCTAGGAACCTCAACTTGACAGACATCTTCATACTGTTTATAACTGATGTACCTTGATAGTCCCTGTGTGGCTGTACCCCTCATGTAAGTGAAACCATGCCATATGTATCTCTTTCTTTCTGACATACTGACTTAGCATGGTCCCCTCCAGTTGCATACCTGGGAATGCCAAGAGCTCATCTTATTTTTAAACACAGAGTAGTGGCATTGTGTGTACATACCACACCTCTTCACCCACTTAACTATCCTTGAACAGTAGGTTGTTTCCATAACTAGCTTATTGCAAATAGAGCTAGAATGAGCAGAGTGTATCTATCCTTTAAGATTGATTGATTGATTTATGCATGTAAGAACTGGGATACAGGCTAGAGGTTTTGGGTGTGAGAGAATTCACCAGAGACAGAGTGGAGTGCTGAACCAGCAGACTGACTGATGTACACTGCTGAGGGGAGCAGCTGTTGAGAGTTCCACAGTGCTGTGCTCTAACCTGCAGCACCACCAGGGAGAGCCTCAAATTAACATTTTTGTCCTCTGTAGGTTGGAGTAGAATTGCTGGACTTTATGGTAGATCTATTTCTGACATTTGAGAAAGCTGCACACTGTTTCCGTTAAGAGCTGTGCCAGTTGGTACCACCCCCAGCACTGGGCAAGGGCTCCTTTGTGCCACAAACACACCAACACCTTTTTTTTACTAAAATTTATTTCACGGGCCATTCTCACAGGTGTGAGAGCATAACGATTGCGGCTTTTGCCCTTCCTGATGGTAACTGGTGATGACCTTTTTTTTTTTCAAATGCCTACTCACTGTTCCTATGTCTTTCTGGAAGAAATATTTATTTAGATCTTCTGGCCATTTTTTGATTGGGGGTTATTTGTTTCCTTTTTCTGTGAAAATATTCATGATGAACTGCAAATTCAATATATCCTAAGTTATTACTTTCTAATTGTAAATTTGAAATAGAATGGCAAACAATTAAAGACATTATTCCTACAAGTACAGAATGGAACCGTGATTTACTGGTGATTTATTTTCTCAATGCTATTGTATGTAACTAATGAAATGTTTTTAATTTACAGGTTTAATAGAATGGCAACAAGGGTGATTGTTTTTCTTTTAATAACTATTCTTTATTAATTTCTCTGAATGAAATAATTGGAGCATTTACACAGGTCATGATAAAAATATCCACATTAATGCAATGTGGAGAGGAACAGCGGAAAAATAAATAATAGTGGTAACACACAGGCCTCTGTAGGAAGAAGAAAGCTCAACATTAAATTATAAATAAGTAATTTTCAGCGACATCGTGGAAGGTGGGGACTTACTTGTATACTAAATGCCCCTTCTGTGTCTTGCAGCTGCACTCCAATTCCGACAAAGGTGACGGATCTGTCAAGTACATCCTCACTGGAGAAGGTGCCGGGACTATATTTATCATTGATGATACCACTGGTGACATCCACTCTACCAAAAGCCTAGACAGAGAGCAGAAGACACACTATGTGCTTCACGCCCAGGCCATCGACAGGCGAACAAACAAGCCTCTGGAGCCTGAATCTGAGTTCATCATCAAAGTACAGGACATCAACGACAACGCCCCAAAATTCACAGATGGGCCATACATTGTCACAGTGCCGGAAATGTCAGACATGGGTAAGAAACTCATTGTTATGCTCGCCCAGGTAATATGTATTTCAGGATGCACTGTTTGAAGACTAGGTTTTAACTTTGTGTTCATCAAGGCTTTTGGTGACCTCTTAATACTTAGTACCTGCAGTCCAAAAGGGTTCAGTTTACTGAGGCTAGAGATTATTAGAATTAAATTCTGAGCACATATGGCTAAGGAACACTTTGATCTCCAGGAAAGCAATCATAAATGGGAAAACACTTGCGATTCTTGCTTAATCATTTCAGTCTTGGACAACACAAATATCCAGGCTCATAGGCAAGGAGACACCAACATAGTCAAAGTAGCAGTTTGTAAAGGTGAAGAGAGACAGTGTAATGTTTGAAATCATTTGCTACATGTGTATTAAGCTTCCAGTTTATGAGCAAATTATAATATTAATAGTACAAGTAGTGTTCATAGCTGCATTAATCAATAAAACGTTTCTGATACTGTTAAAATTCTACCAACCTGATATACTTAAAAATATACATCAATGCTGTGAAGTGTTTTTGCACACTACTTTAAAGAACAAATTGAATACAGAATTTATGTAATTTTCCTCAATTCACTTATCTAGACAATAACCAAGAAGAGATTAATTCTGGTAATTCTGCATGTGAAATTGTGCCACAGTAGGTGAAGTGTGATCTAAATCTTCAATCCCACTGATAATCTGGGCTTCCCAACACTCACAAAAGAATTGTGATCTAATTTAGTTTATTTTTTTAATCTCATAAGATTAATCTCTTAATGCAGCCAAAGTCAACTATAATAATAATGTATTCTACCTCTGTGTGACTCTGAAATTGGATTTAGAAGGCAGTCTTTGAGTAAAGATTATATGTATTTAAGTTCACTGCATATGCATGTGTGCTACTTTAAGGTTATTATAGTCACCAAACTACTCAGTATATTTAGATAGAAGCATTTAAAATACATTTATGTATATGCATATATACCCACATGCATAGTGCAGAGTGATTTTTGCATGAATATGCATGCATATGCATCCAGAGCAGCTTGCATATATATACCTAAACATTCCTAGCCACAGAAAGTATGTGTGTATGTTTACACACAGACTGATCTGTAGATATGAATGTGGCCATGTATACACATAACAGTGATTTTCAAAATATACACATACCTACATGTGAATATGTACACACAAACACACACACATGGGTATATACCATGCATGCATGCAAACTGCTTTGGACACAGCAAATAGTGTCAGGGTAGAAAAACCTGGACTGCTGTCTGTTTTTGTAAATAACATCTTGCCTGACAGAGTCGACCTCATTCATTTCAATAATGCCTATGGTTGCTAAGGCACTGCTGACGGAGTTTAATACAGATGGCAATAGCTAAAGTATTTACTACACCGCCTTTTACAGAAAAAGCCTGTAACCTTCACTGTAAGGGGCTTCAGCAAATGAGGCAGGGGGCACGATTGGATAATGCTACCATCCTGAGAGACAGGCGTTCCCTGATCTCGGGCTGCAAGTGTTCTACCAGCCCAGCTGCCTGTATCCATAGGCACAGAACTAGGGTGTGTGTTACAAATATATCTGCTTGAGAGAGTCACTGTTCATTATCTGATGTTCAGACTTTCCTTCTGTGTTACTAAGAGAACTCAGTTTTGTTCAGAGCTAATTTTTCACCTCCCAGCATATCTCTTCATCTAAGAATCCTGAGGAGTGATAGGAGTTTCCTAATGAGAATACACGGATGGACCCTTATTCCACCTTAACCAGTTTCTGTTCTTGCTCACTTCAGAGCAGATGTGGGAACTGCAGCATTCACTGCAACCACACGATGCAAAGACCTTGCCAGTGAGATGTAGCAAGGTCAAAGATCAGACGGAGTGATTCCATCACAGAACTGGTGCTCCAACTCTAACCTGCTAATACAACCAGAGCCTCAGAAAATAAGTATCTTTATGTCTACGTTATTCAGTTTTATTTAGATACATGCAGCTACGGTGAATTTGATTTGGTACTGAGACATGTCCTAGGTCTTAACATGGACTCAAAACCAAGCCTTTGAAACTGACATTGGTAACAACACTAGGAAGTTATCTGCAGCTACTGCAGCACAAGTTCAGTCCCCGACGGGGTGCTGACCCATATGGCAAGCTGACCTCTCCTGACCTGGCCCTGCTTCCCTCAGCAGTGCATCTCAGTAGGTCTGCCTGTTCGGCTCCCCACTCTGTTACTGGTGAATCCTCTGGCCTGCACCATAGCACTTGTATGCATAAATAAACCTCAAAAAGTTAAAAAGTAAAACTGACACTGAGTCAAAAGTAATAGTGACAAAGTTTTCAGCATTTGATAAAAAACAGGTCATTTTCCATTCTGGACTTTGATTTAGAATGTAATGATCACTTTTTTCTCCTCCCAGGGTATAATTGCAATTTGAGGTGTTTTTGCTATAACAGCAATATCCTTTCTTCCTGTGATGTAGCTGGCAGTTGATTTCCTATATCAATAAGTCGCTGGCCATCAACTGCAGAATCAATTAGATATATGTTAAGTTCTAATCAGTTTATAAAAGAAAATCAGACATGTTGACTGTCTGCTTGGCTTCTGCAGGAAATCTAAAATTGATGACCAGAAAACAACCAGTTAATCTGGGCAGGGTCTGAATCAGTAGGTCACCACGGAAGCTGTGTAATGATCATAGAAATATCTACAAGGGACATTTCATGATCATTTGCTATGTGTCCGACGTTGCATCCTCTTTGCAATAAACCCATCATTGAGGTAGTGTTATGGTTATTTTCACTTTCTAGAAGATGAAAATGTGATGTAGAACTGAGTAATAGATCCATGATTGCATGATGATGATAAGTCTAACTGCAAAATTTTTCTAAACTGGCTAAATTTTTAAACCTTGATTTAAGCTATTAGAAAGAACAACCATAAAAATATGATAGAAATCCAATAGCTAGTAAGAGATGACATGAATTTAAATGTATATAGATGTTAATTAATGGTGTTAGCATGATTAGTAAGATAAAAGATAAGTTGAAGTACCTATAAACACTTATGACATAAAAATGAACTAATTTTAATTTCATAAGGAACTTTATTTTTATCTGTTATGTTTTTTGAGGTAAACTTATTTTGCAATGATGTATGCAATTCAGTATTATAGGTCTGCAACTCTTCAGATGTATCTTACCATTCCACACCAAACACTCCTCCAATATAGTAAAGCACCCCCTTTTTCTTTCCAGCTGCCCTCTTTAGTAATCTTAATTTGCAGTCAGATTTGTAGGGCTTGCTTTTGTCTGACCTTAAGTTTTGTTCCTCTGTACTGCACATAATCATCTTGTATTTGTCTTTTGTTGTTGTTGTTGTTGTTATGGGTTATTTCACTTAGCATAATACCCTATACTTTCAATCATGTCCATGCAATTGGCAAGAATTTTAGTTCATGGCTGAGTAGTATTCCATGGTTTATATACCACATCTTCCTAATCTCCATCTGTCCTTGAGCTCTTAGGTAGCTTCTATAACTTGGCCACTGGAAAAAAAGTGTTGCAGTAAACATAGGGGAATGTATATCCCTTCAAATTAGTGTTGTTGCTTTACTTGGGTGATCTGTAGGATGGGAATTGGTGGATCGTATGATAGCTATATTTTGATATTTTGAGGACCCTCCATACTGTTTTCCAGAGGGAAGTAGTCTACATTCCCACCAAAAGTGTCTGATTTCCATTTTCATCATACCCTCACCAACACTTGCTCCTGGACTTTTTTAACATGGGCCATTCTCACTGTTATGAGGTGGTATTTCATGGTGGTTTTAATATGCATTTCATGATAAGTGATGATGAGCATATTTGTTATGTGCCTATGGATCATCTGCATGTCTTCTTTGAAGAAATGTTTATTTAGTTCTTCTACCCATTATTGTATTTGTTGTTGTTGTTATTGTTTTCTGCATTTTGGGGTTGTGTGAGTTCTTTATACATCTTGGATATCTGCCACGTCAAATAAATGTATGATGTGCAAATATTTCCCCCCATTGAATATAGGACTTTGCTTTTTTTTTTTTCTTTAAAGATTTATTCATTTATGCATACAGAACGTGGTGAGAGGATTCACCAGAAACAGAGCGGGGAGCAGAACAGGCAGATCAATGAAGTACACTGCTGAGGGGAGCAGTGGGCAGGTCAGGAGGGGTCTGCCGCACCATGTGGTCACCTCCATTGTGGAGATCCAACTCCTACTGAAGTGGCTTTAGCTTCTTAGCACTGTGATTTAAACTGCTGTGCCACCAAGGAGGGCCCAGGATTTAGTTTTAAATAATAAGAAAACATTTTAATCTTCAACCAAATAACAACGGGGACTTTTCTTTAGCATGATTTCCATAGATAGAATAAACACATGTTATCAGAATAAATCTCAAATTACACTTGTAATTAGAAAATCACAAGGGATGAGATATGAAGTTCCTATTCCACAAATGCAAATTTAATAATTGCTAAAATGTCGTTGTTTTGGTAACATTTGGCTTATAATGCTGTTTGTGTTGTAACAGCCCCTTTCAGAAGTTGTTACTAAACCATATTCACCACAAGGCACCCACCGTCCTGCACCATTGCCCATTTCACCCCCCACCCCATCCTCTCCACTACTGGTAGCCTCAGGTTTGCAGTCAAATTTCTAGGGTGTATGTTTGGTTTGTTGTTATCTCTGGTTTCTTTCTCTAGTTCCATGTATGAGTAAAACTACTGTTAGTTGTCTTTCTCCTTCTGATTTATTTGGTTTAGCATAATCCACTCCAGTTCTATTCATGCAGTCACAAATGGCAGAGAAATTAGTAAAGTTTTATATGATAACACATTCATAACATGATTTTTTAATTGACAGACTAGACTATCAGACCAACAAATTCCAATTGTGTTTTGGAAGGAAACTTGGTGATGCCTATCAAATTTTTTATGAGGCCATATCTTTTTTGTTGAGCAGTC